CAATAATTAATGTAATATAATAAACTGTTAGGATTAACAAAATTTTGGTAAGAATAGAGATTTATGTTATTATGTGTTATTGGTTAACTCAAAGATTAAGATTTGATAGTTACTGGTACTAATTGTAATTGCATCTAGTTAAAATGTTGCCACTATCGTCTATCCCGTAAATAATATCAATCAATCATTCTTACACACAATATTAACCTATAATTCATTATTCATCAACTCGCATAATTTTAACTAACCATCACATCACATATTCTCTTTCCTACTTTTACATCAATTTAATTTTCATCATTTTATTTTAAATATTATTTTTATGTACTCACTAGCAACTAACCATACAAACTTTTTCAATTTTAACCAACACTACAACAAAATGATAAAATTCCAATGGAAAATTTCATTACAAATACATTGTAATGGAATTCCAACGGAAATTCCAACAAAAATATTCCGTTGGAATGAATTTTCCATTGGAATTCCCGTTGTATTTTAGCGATTCCAATGGTAGATTTTCCAATGGAAAAATTCCAATGGAAATTGCATATTCCAACAGAAATTCCTACGGTAAAAACCGTTGGAAAAATAGCCGTGGAATCATCAAATGCCATCTAAAATTCCAATAGAAAATTCATTCCAACGTAATATTTTCGTTGGAATTTCCGTTGGAATCATTCCAACGGAAGCTATACCATTGGAATATCCGTTGAAATTTTTATTAGAATATTTTACCGTAGGATTTTCCGTTGTAATATAACTATTTTTTTGTAGTGCACCTCAAACCAAAGTATTCCGGGCTCGGCCAGTGGTGTTAGACGGGTTTGTATCTACACCAAAAATCCAATTAAAAACTTTTTATATCCAAGCATGATCTTAAGCTTTATATCCCCAAATTCTAGTTTGGATCACTTGAACAAAGGTATTAAAGAGAAACTAAACTTGGAACAGTTCACGAGGAATTAGAGGCATAGCTCTTCTGAGCATTCACATCAACAAGTCGACTTGCTGTTAACTGCTCAACAAATAAAGGGTCCATTTGTCATGGCCAACGTAGCTAGCAAACCACAAACACATAAAAAAATTTATTACTTTGCTGCAAGTGGTGGATTCATGACGTGATTGATCAAATTAAGATAATTTATTAGGCTAAACAATGATTGCAAATAACTATTTATTAATTGGGTGTAATGATGCAGACTGCCTCATGAAAACAATTAACCCCAGTACCCCACCATCAGCTCAATGCTGTCAAGCGAACAAAGTACAGAGCGATATATACATGGAATGACGAAAACAAGAAGCCAATGGACGATCCTTAGCTCTGTCTTTTTAACTTTGTATGGTTGTTGACCGATTTTCGAATCTTTTGACCTTGTTTTTCGTGCCGAACTCGTTTTTAGCCTCTTTAAATTATTTTTCTAAGTTCCTCCCTCAAATCCAAGAGTTTCAAATTCCACAAAATTTCACGAGCTACTTAATCGATAATTTTTGACTAAGTATGAATTTCTTTTGAAATTTTCAATTTTCAAGATAAGTATTGTGAAATATTATCTTGATTAAATGTAGTTGTTTGAAGAGTCGAGCCATCTGCCCACCTTCTGTTGATTATTGTTTTGCTTACCTCGACTGATCAAGTGGATGTTGATAAACCTTACCGTGTATGTTATTGTTTATAATTGTTTGACTTGATAATCAATGTATGCATGTGAACTGTTAGTCTGTGAGAGGTTCTCACGTTGATGTTGTGCCGACGTTCTCGTATTTCTGCCTAAGAGAGGTTCTCCCGTTGATGTTGTACCAACGGTTTAGCTCCCATTGATGTTGTGCCGACGGTTTAGATGTGATCACATGAGCGCAGGGCGATATAGGAGGTAGACTAGACGATTTGTGTTCATGCTGCGATTGGTATTCCCACAGTGAGCAAGTTGGTCGCTCACTCCCACTATTTTCCTGTTTTTCAGGTTGAGCTGGTAGCAGCAGCGAAAGACGGGCGAGTGGGGTCATACTTGATTGTGCTTATGAACTGTTATTGCTTCCACATTATTCTTAATTGTTATCTTCTGCTAGACTTGTTAAAATGTTAAGTTTGAGATTGGGTTATGAACTTGAATATTTTGCATGCTCTGAATTATGAAATGGAAAGGTTGATATTGAATAAAGTTTGAAACTTATTTTTGGAGCATGTTGTATTTGTTTGACTTGATATGTTGAAATGAGATGGTTTATTCTCAGTTGCTTAAGTTGGGACTTAAGCTGTTGATTTGAGATAAGTTGATTAATGTCCATTAAATAAATTTTTATCGACCAAAAGAAGGACTTGCGCATGGTCTTTATCGACCTAGAGAAGGCTTATGACAGAGTACCGAGAAATGTCATGTGGTGGGCCTTAGAAAAGCACAAAGTCCCATCTAAGTACATTACCCTCATCAAGGATATGTACAAGGATGCGATGACGTGTGTCCGAACATGTGGGGGCGACACCAGCGACTTCCCAATTAAAATAGGACTACACCAGGGGTCAGCATTGAGCCCTTATCTATTTGCCTTGGTGATGGATGAGGTCACAAGGGACATACAAGGTGATATCCCTTGGTGTATGCTCTTTGCTGATGATGTGGTGCTAGTTGACGAGAGTAGAGCAGGGGTAAATAGGAAGTTGGAGCTGTGGAAGGACGCGTTAGAGTCGAAAGGCTTCAGACTTAGTAGGACGAAGACCGAGTACATGACGTGCGCTTTCAGCATGGCTTCACATGATGATGGTGACGTTACCCTTGACGGGCAAGTGGTGGCCAAGAAGGAGACTTTCCGGTATTTGGGATCGATGCTACAAAAGGATGGCGGCATTGATGCCGATGTTAGGCATAGTATTGCAGCTGGTTGGTTGAAATGGAGTCAGGCGTCGGGCGTTCTCTCTGATAAGAGGGTGCCACAAAGGCTAAAAGGTAAGTTCTATAGGACGGCGATTCGCCCGGCGATACTATACGGTGCTGAATGTTGGCCTACAAAAAGGCAACATGTGCAACAACTAAGTGTAGCAGAGATGCGTATGTTGCGTTGGTTCTGTGGGCACACAAGAAGGGATAGAATCAGGAATGAGGATATTCGAGATAGGGTCGGGGTGGCCCCAATTGAGGAGAAATTGGTTCAACATCGGCTGAGGTGGTTCGGACATGTCCAACGGAGGCCTCCGGATGCGCCGGTGCGTAGGGGAGTTCTACAGCGGGTCGAGGATGTTAAGAGAGGTAGAGGTCGGCCTAAACTCACTTGGGAAGAGTCGGTTAAGAGAGACCTTAAAGATTGGGATATCTCCAAGGATTTAGTGGTGGATAGGAGCGCTTGGAGGCTCGCTATCAACGTGCCAGAACCGTGACTTTTGCTCCTTTTTCTCTCTTTTTTTTTTCGATCTCTTCCTTTCGGTTCGAGTCTTTTGTGTTTCTCTTGGGTTTCATCTCTAGCCTACCCCGACTTGCTTGGGACTAAAGGCTATGTTGTTGTTGTTGTTGTTGTAGTCCACCGTACGGATTGTGTACTAATTTAAATAAACATATTTTATGTAATTTTTCACAATTTAAATTTCATATAATTAATAAATTAATATAGGTAAATTGTATTACATATTGATTCCATATTTTTAATTTATAAATATTATTTAATGAGTATTTTTAATTTATGAATTCTAATACATATTTCTTACTCGTACGTCGCACGTGATTTGTACTAGTTCATGTAATAATGTCATAAATTTATAGATGCTAATATATATAGTCACTATTTTTATAATTAGACATTAAAAAACACCAAATATAATTGAACGGTTAGATCATAAATAATATTAAAATATTTTAGAATTTAAATATAGAATATAATTTATATATATTTACTAATTATTTTCTCGTGTATATATATATACTAGTGTTGATACCCGTGCGATGCACGGGATGCAATACAAACAATATTTATTATTTAAATATTATAAAATTATTTAAGACAATATGAAATTATATTCTCAACAATATTCTATTCAGTAATAATATGACATTTATTTATTTATTATTATTGTTAATTTCTATTTTTTGTATTTTTTTGTAGTTTTTGACTATGTAATATATAAATTTTATTACTTATAAGTTTATAAAATATTATAAAAGTATAAGATCATATGATATTTGCATACAAATTATTTGTATATACTTATAAAATCGTTGTTTATTATAGTCTTATAATTTTTTAACAATTCATAATTTGCACATTGCTTGATAATTGACCAACGTTTAACCCATAATATTTATCTTCGTCTATAATTATTAAGTACATTAAATGTTAAAAACTTTGATAAACAAACTTTAATTTTTAGTGACTTTAATCCTTATGCAACACACAAATTTTTTATGGTTAAATATTTTATTTTTATGTTTCCATTTTTATTTATATTTATTCCTTTAATTCATTTTTTCAACCTATATAATGAGTTACATAGTATCTATTCGAATATTTTGATATATTATATATTTTCATAATTACCAAGTGCTATAATCTAAATTATTATACATTGTTTTTTTATTAACTTATTTTTCATTTATAAAATAGTATATAAGAAAAGAATAAATATTTTTAAAAATTGGATAGTTTTTAATGTACATAGGTACTTCTAAGGTGGAATTTATAATTTTGAATTGCACCCGACCATCAAATTTTATTTTTATTAGTATTATTTAAATTTTCGATACTATTATTACTGCATATGATATATTCAATGGGGATGTACCTTTTTATAGTTAAATTGACTACATATTTGAAACTTTTATTAATATTTTAAATTATTTATTAAGTTATTATGATTTAAACATAGTTTTATATTTTTTTAATTATTTTATTAATATTTTAAGTACTTTTGAATAGTGAATATAATTAATTAAATTAATACCTACAGCCATAGATGATATTTAATCAAATAAATTTCCATAATAATTTTTTGAATTGTGCCAATAAATTACTATTAAATTAATATAAGATCTTATTGAAAATATATCTAATAAATTTACAGTCACAATTTCAATTTAAGTCAATTTGTAGTTAATGAGTAATAGTCATTGAGTGTATAAAAATTAATTATGTTTTTTATGCATATGATTTGTTAATAAATAAATATTAATTAAATGTCAAATATAGATGAAAAATCTTTCTACCCAAAATCATGTCAATTATGACAATAAGGATTTGTCCATTATATAGATATAGATATAGATATATATTTATGGTACAATTATAGGTTCGTATATGTATGGTATCATTGGGTGTCATTATCTTAATTGGTGGTATATATATTTTTATGCATTATTAAATATATATTTTTATGCATTATTAACTATCTGAATGATTCTCATACTTAAAATTGATTTTTTATTTTTAGAAAAAATGAAACTGAAGTTTATTATTATTTTTATATAGATTTTTTTCTTAAAATTCTCATTCAATAACTCTTAGGGACTTCAAAGGTAGCTGAATAGTAAGTCGCATAAATATTATTGTAGATTCCATATTAATTTGAATTATTAATTGAATACTAATTTAGTTAAGTTAATGCAAAGTGCAAATGGAAACACGAACCTAAAGTATTATTGACAAATGCAAAAATAATTAAACTTACAATTACACAACCAAATGTAGAAATGTTGCCAATTATAGTAATTGCATATCATCTTTATTTAGCAATAAATTCCATCAACTCCCTCTTTATATATATATAGATATATAAATATAAAAATTGTAGAATCTAGTCTCATACATTCATATAGTGTAGTGGTGGTGTTACCTCTTTAATATGCAAGAGGTCTTGAGTTCAAGCCCTACTGTTGGGAGAATTGTTAAAATTACTAAGGATTATATTGGTGGATCGACATGGGTCAAGGTGAGCCAAGTTGGGTCAACAATTTTTTTTTCTTTTTTTTTTTTTTGCTGAAAAATCCGTTGGTAATCTGTTGGGAAAAACCCGTTGTCAATCCGTTGGGAAAAAATATGATTTAGTAATCTGTTGGG